AGGTTACTTTCACTAAGCAGCTGTCACGTGGACAAACTTCTCCCTAATCCCCCAAATTGCCTACTCCTAAAAATCCCACATGAAAATACATGTGAGCGAGAAAGTTGGAGTTGCTCACTGAGGGAAAACATTTGTTCTGAGGTTTTAGGCAAACTTTCCATAGCGGGTGGCTGCCAGATCCTGTGCTCCAGATGGCCCCATTGGATCAGCCAATAGCCAAGGGGAAGGCTTATGTGTGTCCTTCCAAGTGGAGCCTGGGTTGCCATTCATAAACCCTAGCTGTACTTGCTTCCTTGCCTGATTGTATGCTTCTTCAGCCCTTGGGGGAAAGTGGGACTTCAGGAATTCAGGGCCTGGAAAAGATGTGCATGCGGGAAGATGGGCGAGTAAGGGGCTGGGCTGATGGCCTTGCCTGCTTCTCTACTCCCATGGTCACTGGTGACAGCTCAGCTGCTGTGGGCTCTGGTTTCTCGGTGACAGATACCATTCTGTGCTTGGCCACATGCAGATGGTTCCTGATTCTGTGGGGAACCTGGTGGTTCACCCTTCCACAGAACCAGGCGCCTGGCCAGGATGCACCTGGCCCTGATACCAGGAGATGCTCATTTCTCCCCGGCAGTGCTGCTAACTGCCGTTTTCACAGATGTTGTCTCTGAGAGATGCCCATCCTGGAGTCTTGCCTGAGAGGCCGCAATCTGAACAGGGTTTTGCCCACATCATCCTTCTAGGTGAGGCCACATCAAGAGAAGGAGGCAAAACCTTGTCCTAATACAATGGCTGGTTCCACTCTAATGGCCTGCAGCGAGGTAGGAGGACCCTGGCCATAAGCGGTAACCTGGGAAAGAGCCCTCTCCTACTCTGAAGTTGCTCAGCTGGTGAATGACCAGGGTTGGTGGTGGCATCCCCAACCCAACCAACACCCTACTGTCCACTTGGTCTCTCCCGATTCACTGTCAACAAACTGGCCTGCAAGGTAATCATGGGAAAGTCAGCTCTGCGACTCGTTCATAGCTGAGCCAAAGATCTGAGCGCTAGAAATCCTTTTAACATTCAGTAACACACTACTAGGGACATGTCTCGTATAGGATGAGTTGGCACAGCCTAAATAGATTTGGCTCACAGGACTGCTTGGCCTTATTTCCTCCCTAGTGTGAACTGAGGAGTAACATGCATTCACCCTGAGAAAAATCCCTCATTTCATTGCCTAATCTAATGTTTGGAATTGTACCTAACAGAGTTCTGAAGACCCTGTCTTCAAAGGACTCCACTCCAAGTCCAAATGTTAGTTTGTTTCAGGGTTTTGGGGAGGGAGCTAATGTTTAATAGCAGCTGCCGCGTGTTGACAGCGTATGCAAGTGACTTCATTATAAACTCTCTTTAGCACATGCTTGGCTGAATTGTGGAGGGGCAGGAGTGTCTCAGGCCAGGGCTCGTGGGGCTGCAGCCAGTTCTGAGGCAGACTAGGTGCCTCAAAGTAGAGGGAAAGCAGGTCAAATGATTTTGTTTAGCAGTGATATTGAGAGTTGAGATAATGAGTTCCTATCACTTTACCTCTTAGAACACATTTGCTTCAGTTAGTTCAAGACAAAGATGTGAGGCACTGCTCCTTGGTTTATTCATGCACAAAAATCTATTCAAGCAAGATGGACTCTATAGCTGGATTCAGAGACATTTCCTTTTTTTGGTTCAGGGATTAATCGATTGGTTTTGAAATCATCTGTCTTTCATTGTTAGTAATTGACCAAATGAGTATTTTTGAATTATAGAAGTTCTTTAGTAGCTATACAGCACATCTAGTATGTGCCGCCTCTTCTCAGTTAGTAGAATATAACTGAGAAGAGATTATTCTACCTAGGACTGGGAATGGACATTTTGAGACACTGCTTCCAAATTAAATTTGTTACAAAGTCTTAATAGCTGAATTGCAGAACTCTGGGAATAAATTTCAGTAATGGTTACTTTCCATTGCATCTTCCTAACTTTCAGAATGATGCCTCAACCACCAGGAATGTTTAGGGTAGTGCTTCTCAAAATTTAATGTGCATTCTAGTGATTTGGAGATCTTCTTAAAATGAATTTTCAAATTCAGTAGGCTGGGGATAGGCCTTGAGATTCTGCCGTTCTAATATGCTCCCTGGTGATGCTGACACCACTGGTTGGTGGACCACACTTTGAGTGGCAGTGTTCTAGCACAGTGATGCTAGGGGACCAGCAGCATCATCGCCAGAAAACCTGTTAGAAATACAAACTCTTGGGCTGGAGGCAGTGGCTCATGACTGTAATCCCAACACTTTTCGAGGCTGAGGTGGGTGAATCACCTGACATCGGGGTTTCGAAACCAGCCTGGGCAACACGGTGAAACCCCATCTCTACAAAAAAACATAAAAATTAGCTGGATGTGGTGGTGGGTGCCTGTAAACCCAGTTACTTGGGAGGTTTAAACTCAGGAGGCGGAGGTTGCAGTGAGCCAAGATTGTGCCATTGCACTCCAGCCTGGGTGATGGGAGCAAAACCCTGTCTCAAAAAAAGGAAAAAAAAAAAAAAGAAAAAAAAGGAAATGCAAACTCTTGGGTCTCAACCTAGACCTGTAGAAGCAAAAATTCTTGGAGTGGGGCCCAGTAGCTGAGTTTTGACAAGGCCTACAGGTGATTCTGACACATACTCCAGTTCCAGAATCACTGTTCTAGAAAATGAATTACAGGTGGTCCTATAGTGTGACACATTCCCATTCTTTAACAATCTTTTATTGTTGAAAAGTCTTCTGTGGGTCTAGCCTCAAATCCTTTTGCCTAATTACTCCAGTTCTATCAGGCTTTCTTGAGATTACCTGCGAAAGGTATCCATCGTTATAGAATTTTAGGCCTAGAAGGAACCTTAAGATATGTTCTGATTCCTTTTCCCCATGCTTTATGGTTCCTTTTTGAGCCTTGTCTACCTCCGAATAGAAAGCATTCAAGTGAGAGTTAGTTGAAAAAATATCTTGTAACCTATTTGTTGTTGTATTTTATTAGTCTTCATCACTTCTGTGTCACAGGTTTAGGCCATTCTGTTTGCTTTGATGTGGAATTTAAAGATATTTTTACAATGTCTTACAGCTTCAAGTCTTATACTAGTATTATTTAAACATTTTTAAAGGACAGAACAGTGGGAAAAAAATAATTATACTCCATAAGAGCTTTTAAAGAGTTTTATTGGATTTAAGATTAATCAGGAGCCTGTGGATGTTGTTCTTGGGCAGTTAAGGCACAGGAGGCAATATTTGTTGGATTGCTGCAGAAGACGGGAGAACTGACTGGGCAACGGCGATAGAGAGACATTTTCTGAAGCCAGAGGGACCAGAGAAAGGTTTCAGAGTCATGAAATAATCACTGCCATATTTGAACTTTTCAAACCGGATTATGTTCGTAAAATTTGACTTTGGGGGAAGAGGGTACAAACTCCTGTTTATTTCAGGCTGTGAGTTCCTGATGAATGGGGACACCCAATGATTGTGTGATTGAGTTGGAGTAGGCAACTTCAGCCTCCAAAGTGGTACACCCTTCTTGCTGGAAAGCTTTCTGTTGGAGGTATGATCTATCCTGAGGCCCTTGTATCTTAGATTAGAGGAGCAAACAGATTTTTTCATTTGAGCACGTGGGGGGCCTCCTTTCTTAGTCATCTGTCTTGCTATTGACGTGAGAGGTCTCTTCCACTCCCAGTTCCTGGTGGTAGCTTACCAGAACAGGCATCTGTCAATGAGGGGAACCTGCATGCTCTTAGAAGCTTTGAGTCTGGTGCTAGAGTTTCCAGTACCAGGCTGGTGTTGACCAGGCTATGTTCTGCACCCTAGCCTGGCCAACAGCAGTCTTTGATGTTCCACATAGGTTTATGCAGGGGTCCCCACACATTTTCACAGAAATCCCCAAAGAGAATTCCATCTATTTGTATTCTTGTGAAGAGCTTTCAAGTTGAGCAAAATGATATATATTCAGATACTTGTAAAAAAAAAAAAAAAAAGGCTTAGACGAATGCATCACTATAACAATTACCAGGAAACTCACACTGAGAAATAGCATGGTAAAATGTTCACTCCAAAGGATGTATGAATTTGGACAGACTGAACAACCTGCTGATTTTGACCTAAATAAATGACCCAAGACATATGGTAACAAAAGCTCTATCCAAGAAATTGGGCCACGGCCATCAGTTGCTTAACTACTTCCCCTCTACTAATCCACCAACTGGATTAGAATATTAGAACATTAGGAACTTTGTAGTGATGTGTGGGATGCTGGGAAAGACAGAAAGGCAGCATTTTCACCCAAAGAGAGCCTGTGCCAATGGATTAAATGTTGAGGATTTTAGCCCATTATCTTGCATTATTGGTGGGCCAGTTTCTCCAACTTGAAGAAACATTTCTGACAAAGTGAGACTATTTCAAGAATCTTAGGGAATTTAGAGTCAACCCCCCGTTATTCAGGGTTGACTCTCACTTTTGGAAAACCTCTAGGATCCTGGCTTTTCTTCCTTCCAACATTCAATCCATCCTCTCCCTATCTCCTCCCCTCACTCCCACCAATCTCTTTTTGGGCCTTTTCGCAGTTCATTAGGCAATTCAAATAAAGCGCAGGCAAAGAAAACAACCTGAAAAAAAATGGGTGGAACTAAACATTATGAAATTGACCTATGAATCCTGGATCTGGAATGGTTTTCACAGAAAGAAATGGAAACTCTTGGTCACAAATGTGTTATTTTGGTTTTTGACAGTCATCAGTCAATGAATGAATCATTATTTAGCTGTCAATACCTTGAATAATGTACCAATTTAGATTTTCATAGTTTTAAGTATTTTTAAGATATTGAGAATGTGCTTTTGGTTGTCATTTAGGCAGACAACAGATTGGCCCCAAATGATCAGAATGGGTAATATCTGTGCTATGAGTCCCGCCTGCCTAACCAAACGGACCTTTTTCTCCCCTACACCACCCCGCTCCAATGAATCAAGGATAATAAAAATGTACCTGTCCTGCGGTGTCATACAGTCCGAGCAGGTGTTGCTTGCCTCCCACTGTCACAGTAACTAGGGGAGAAGAGAAGAGGAAAGTCTGTAAACACAGGTTTCAATCAGGAGCCTTCACATTTTTTCCATGCCAGCATCTCCTTGGGCAGCAAGGAGAAGCATATGCCATGCCCGGGCATATTCTAAACAAAGTTGACAGCATAATTTCCAAATGAAAGGTAACCTTGGGCTGCAGTGATGGCAGATGGTCTGAGCCAAGTCCAAATTTCACAACAGAGATGAATATTACTGGTGCCACCAGGACACTCTGTGGTCTGCCCACTGATCCTTATTTGCCTCTGGAATACCAAGCATTCTGATGAAAAAGAATGCTGGACCCCTTTTTCCCTAGGTGATCGCCTTCTTTTCTTTGGTTGGAGATACCTTTCAGGGCACAGAATTGTGTAAACAGCTTGTCTATTAGAAATCTCTCTGCTTTTATCTGTCTCTGAAATATTTACAAAACCCTAAAAACAAAGAATATGATCACACTTGCTAATAGATATTTTTATAGTTTATAAAGCAAGGCAAATAATTAAATGAGAAGGGTTTAGCATTCATTTTGAAAAGTTTTTTTAAAATTAGATATTCCTATGCTTGAACACAGTTGATCATTTCATTATGATTTTGAACTTTAGTTGTGGAACATGTCGTATGTGTTCAGTCTCACCTATGTAAAGGGCGTTTCGAGGGTGAAAAGTAGTGAGTTTGACTTACTCAGTAGCCTATGGCTTTGCCAAGGAATTGTGCCCTGAAAATGAGGAGCAAAACAGGGACGGCAACTACTCTGTCCATGCCTGGAAATGAAACTCTCAACTTGAAACTAAACTGAGATTGAACAGATGGAATGCAGTAGTAATATGATTCTTTTCGTGAATGGGAAGAGCGCATTTAAATTTCCAAAAAAAAAAAAAAAATTCAATCTCTTTTTGGAAAAAGGAAATAAAATATGGAGAAAAGTGTAAGTTTTTTCTCTTATTGATTAAAAAATGTGCAAATTCAATGTGAAGATGATTTTTGATTCCTCCTATCATTAGCTGTGCACGAAATGAAAGATAAACTGAATAGCAATCTTTTATAACCGTATCTCTAATGGCCAAATCCTCTAGCCTGCTGCTTAGGGTTGCTGACTCCGTATTGATTTTACTTTTACTTCTTTTCAGGTTCATGGGCTACATGTATACAAAGAACTTCTTAATGGTTTGTTCTTTGAAACACAAAGCACCTGTTTAAAAGCACTACATCCCCAGACACTGGGAACTATTTTTCTAATCTCCTCAGATCAACATGTGTTCAGCTTGATAGCATGGCTGCAGCCACTCAGATGAGCTGTTAAAAGTGTATTGTTAAATGGTGACTCCAGCTCCATCCACCCCTGGTTACCATGCTGACAGAGGAAGGGCATTTAAACGGTTTCACTTCCTTTCACAAGTCAGGTTAGCAATAGAAATGGAGGTAAGGCTGTGTGACCCAGAGCTCTCATCCTGTTTAATTTTTCCTCTTCATGCACAACGGCAAAAGGGAGACCAGTCAGATGTTCCTGAAATCTGCCCAAATGGTTTCTTTAATTACCAGTTCATTGACTTGTCATGGATTAGGCATGAAGGGAGACATCCAGCGATTACAGCATGGTGCTCGAGCGAGCTCAGTACATGCAAGTCATGGGCAGCTGTTCCAGAGACCCCTTAGACTGTCCCATGACATACAAGCCCAGGGCCATCTGTGGAGTGAGCCCTAGAAGCTGAGGCATCCTCACTGCCCCACTGGGCACTGCAAATATTACTAAGCAATGGCTCTGATCTTTGTTACTGGAGCGCTGGAGCGCCCGCTCAGATATTCCTTGTTTTCTCAGTCATTCTCTCCCGTCTGTTTTTCCTCAGGCCTCACCCTTTTCTCCTTTGGCAGCTTTGATCTCTGGGAATTTCACCAGGCCTGAAGTGAGCAAAGGAAGGTGAGGTGGTGGGCGGAGGGTCTGGGCAAAGCTTTCTCTTTTCTCTGTCCTTTTTTTCTCGAGTCTGCTGGGTTCCTGGACTGAACTCAATGGTGGGAGTAGGAAGACCAGCTACAATTCCTCCTGCCGCAGAGCATGGAGACAAGTGGTTTCCTGGCAAAGCATGGGCATTGTGCAGTGTAGCATGAGCCGTGGCAGGGGCGGTGTAAGGGTTATAGGGTCATGCGGCAGGGGCGCTGCTGCCTGTGCACGTGTCTGCACACACCCTGCTGGAGCTGGATCAGAAAAGGCTTTCTGAGCCAAATATGAAAAGAGGAAGTCAAACTATCCTTCTTTGCTGATAATGATTCTATATCTAGAAAACCACAAAGACTCTGCCAAAAGGCTCATAGAACTGATGAATGACTTCAGTAAAGGTTCAGCATACAAAAATCAATGTACAAAAATCTGTAGTATTTCTATATACCAATAACATTCAAGCTGAGAGCCAAATCAAGAACACAATCCCATTTACGATAGCCACACAAAAATAAAATACCTACATCTACAAGGGGAACTATAAAACACTGCTGGAAGAAATTATAGATGACACGAACAAATGGAAAAACATTCCATGCTCACGGATTGGAAGAATCAATATCGTTAGAATGTCCATACTGCCCAAAGCAATCTATAGATTCAACAGCATTCTTATCAAACTACTATAAACCAAAAATAAAATTCTAAGCCCCTACAACTGACTGAATGGACCCCTCCTCTTGGTTAAGGGCATTCCAAAGTAAACCAGAAAAACTAGCTCAGAATCTATAAGGAATTGAATTCAACAAGCAAAACCCAAAAAACCCCTTAAACATGGGCAAAAGACATGAACAGATACTTCTCAAAAGACGACATACAAGTGGCCAAAAACAGGCTTATAAAAAAATGTTCCATATCACTAATCATCAGAGGAATGCAAATCAAAACTACAGTAAGGCACCATTTCACACCAGCCAGAATGACTATTATTAAAAAGTCAAAAAACAACAGATGCTGATCAGACTGTGGAGAAAAGGGAGAGCTTCTACACTGCTGGTAGAAGTGTAAATTAGTTCAGCCATTGTGGAAGGCAGTTTGGATATTTCTCAAAGTTGGAACTACCATTTGACCTAGCAATCCCATTGCTGGGCCTGTATATTAAATGCCAAAACCAAAAAATCCCTGTTCTCCCAAAAAGACACATGCACTTGTTATGTTCCTTGTAACACTATTCACAATAGCAAAGACATGAAATCAATCTAGGTGTCCATCCAGGGTGGACTGGATAAAGAAAGCCTGGTGCATATACCTCATGGAATACTATGGAGCCATGCAAAGAATAAAATCATGTTCTTTGTAGCAACATGGATGCCCCTGAAGGCCATTATCGTAAGCTAATTAAGTCAGATATAGAAAACCAAATACTGCTTGTTCCCATAAGTGGTAGCGGAAGATTGGGTGCTCATGGACACAAAGATGGCAACAGTAGACAGTGGGAGCTACTAGAGGGGAGAAAGGAAAGCATGGGTTGAAAACTATTGAGTGCTATGTTTACTACCTGGGTGGTGGGATCAATCATACTCCAAACCTCAGCATCATGCAAGATACCTGTGGAACAAACCTACGAATGTACTCCCTGAATCTAAAATGAAAGTTGGAATTAACAAAAGAAGGGGTTTCTGGAGAAGGAGGTGTCTGAGCTCAGTTCCTGAGAATGGCCAGGAGCTACCCAGGGTGCACGGGGAGAGGAACAGCTGTGGTCTGGAGCTGCCCAGGGTGCACTGGGGAAGATGATGCCAAGAAGGTGGGAACACAGGGCGGGGCTGCCCTGGCTCACTAACTTAGGCTTCATTATGATGGCTTTGCTAAGCTATGAAGACCTGAATTACTCTTTTCCTCAAAACGAGTAAAAGAGGAGGACTTAAAATAATTTCCTCGAGTTAAGGCAGAATGGTAGGGGAAGGGAGGATGCCATTTTGGGTGTGGGAGCCATGTTGGATGTTCAGCTTTGTGTGTAGGGCTGTGTAGTCTGCCTGCGTGTGGGGCCACTCCTGCTGGAGGAATCCTAAAAACGGGGCAAAGCTTGTGCTCTTTTTTTTTTTTTTTTGAGATGGAGTTTCACTCTTGACGCCCAGGCTGCATTGGTACTTGGCTCACTGCAGCCTCCACCTCCCAGGTTCAAGTGATTCTCCTGCCTCAGCCTCCCGAGTAACTGAGATTACAGGCAACTGCCACCATGCTGGCTTATTTTTGTATTTTTAGTAAAGATGGGGTTT